CGCTTGTGATAATTGGAGAATTCCTTCGTTGAAACCGCTAAATAAAAAATATGGAGTGAGATACAGGTATCATATCTGATATTTTTTAATTATGTTAACAATTATGTCTTTAAATTACTTATAGTAACATACTATATGTATGTTAATTTGTTTGCAGAGGTCTTTTAATATTGGTGACGACCGGAAAAAATATTGCCTTCAATTGGCCGGAAAAAGACTCAGAGGATTTCGAGTGTTTTTAACGAACAAGTTTTTTAAGGATTCTAATGGAACATTTGTTGAATCAGAGCGTCCAAAGAAGTATGCTGATTTGATTTCACTTGAAGAATGGGAAACATTTGTTGTCAAGCAAAGAACCCAATAACTCCATGTAATTCTAACTTATCATAAACAATGTATAATATATATACTTCTTCTACATGAGTTTTGATATGACTTAAACTTGTTTTTTCAGGCTGTGAGTGACATAAATCGGCAACGAGTATCAAACCCCGCATATCCATACAAAAAAGGGCGTTTGGGATATGCACGCTTACAACAAAAAATAGTAAGTATATATAAATGCTTTAATATGATATAGTTAGAATACGAGAAAAGTAAAGCTTATTATCTGTCTTAATGTGTAGTTAGAAGAGGAGAAAAGTGATGCAACATCTCTTCTGGATCATGTTTTGTGGAAGTCTGCTCGTGTGGGTAGAGATGGAGTCGTTCAGGAAGATGTTCAACAAGTTTTTGAGCAATGTGTAAGTATAACATTAGTTCTGTCATAAACTCAAAAGTTTAGTAACATATAATATATTTATGCTTTTTAATCCCCACTAATATTTATCTATATTTCAGGAGAGTCTATCTCAGTCTATAACTGCAGCTGAAGACGATGATTGCAAGAGCGTACTAAGTCGAGTGTTAAATGTTCCTGAGTATTCTGATCGTGTGAGGGGTAAGGGATTTGGTGTCACTCCAACAACATTGCATAAGCATCCAAAGAATAAAAATCCTAGCAATAAACAAGTGATGGAGTCATTGGAAGAATTGAAAGCTCAAATTCGTGAATTGCAAAAGGACAAAGAGAGATACATGTCAGAAAGGCGCGGTCCAGAGTTTAAGGATACTAGTGACAAAGATAGTATCAATTGTAATTTTCAGCAGAAACTTCTTGAGGTAACTATATATTACATTGAAATTAATTTAGCATAAATTTCTTAATTGACATATATACACATTAATCATATTCATTATTGGTTTAGGGCATTTCACCTTGTCAGCTCTATTTATCGTCACTGACTTATCGCATGGTTGACAAGGGAAAAATGCATAACACTATGGGAGACTTACTTCACCATAAACCGCTCCCTGCTGAATTTTTGAAAGTATCAATTGATATTGCTTTAGAGGGGGTGCGTTATTGCCTATATCAGACGATGTTTCGGATGCAACATTGGTGGGAGACGCAATATGATCATATGTTGCATGGCCGTCAAATCTCATTTTCATAGATGATGAGGTACGTTTAACACCATTATGAACCTTTTAGTATTCAAATGTTTTACGACCCATACATGTAAGTTATTCTTACATTTACGTATCATTTATTTACATGATGATCTTAGACTCCTACAAAATCCAAATCAAAAGATAAAGGGATTGTGCAGGAAACTGAGTCAACTACATCAAAAAAACAGGTACATTAATTGATATATATGCATAGAAAATGTCAATTATATCCTCCGATTTCAATAGCTTTATGATCTTATACATTAATTACCTAACTTATATGATTTTTAGATTCATGCTCAAGAGTTGCAACAAGTCAGCAAGAGTAAGATGCCTAAATCTAGCAAGGTGTCCAACAAAAAAATGCTGAGCCTAAAAAAACATTTGTTCCTCGATTTAGGTTGTGCCTTGAAACATATGTAGGAACAACAGATGTGGTGGAGGATGACATTCGTCAAATACCTATGGATGAAGGTATTTTCGGTTTTGTTTATGCCGAAACAATTGCTAAAGAGGATTTGAATCAAATTTTCCAACATTCTGAATTAGTCATCGGTGTTATACATTCATACATCAGGCCGTACTCCGATCAATTTTAATTAAATAATTAAACAATTTATTTGCTCATTTCAACAAATATATTCTAATGTTGATTATGTTTTTATTTAAGGTTCTTGTATGACAAGTTGTTGGTCCCGCATCAATTGACATAAAGATTCTCATTCTTATCTTCTAGATGTATCAACGTACAGTTAATCGATCACACTCCAGATGTAGCCAGAGATTACTTAGTTCAAGCATTTATGGCCACAAATACAGAAAAGTTGTATTTTTTCCATATAATACTGACCATGGGTTAGATTTCATTCTAATTTCATTTATTATAATTATTCGTTTTTTTGACATTCTATATAACATTTTCATCTAAACTTTTGTCTTATTTTACCGTGGACACTGGTTGTTGGTTGCGATTAATCCGATAAAAGAAATAGTGTATTATCTGGATTCATTGGATGTTGATCAAACAAAATATCTAGATATGAAGAATATGGTTGATACGTAAGTGATGAGATTGTTCTGAATAATTATCTTTATTTATTATGTGAGATTGTTCTAAATATTCGTTTATATTATGTTAGAGCTATACAAATATTTCGATCACAAAGACAAGCAAGGGTACCAAAGAGTAAGGCTAACAACATTAGATGGATCAAAGTGCAGGTATATTTTCACAATTTTGATTGTTATAGTGATTCTACTTGATAAAACTAGTTAAACTATATATCCTGATATATATTCATTTTTTTTCATGTGTAGTGTCCTCGTCAGCGCAATGGTATTGATTGCGGTTATTTTGCGTTGAGATTTATGAAAGAAATTATTCATTCGGGTCAAATAGAGATTCCAAACATGGTATGAATTTATAAGTTATATGATTTATTTTAATATTTAACTGATATTTCATCTGAGTAATTAGTTTTAACTAAATCATGCATATTATGTTATATTATGTAGTACTTTGATGAATTCAAGTGTGATACTTACTCGAAAGATAAATTGGAAGAATTTAAGGAGGAATGGTGTCAATACATTCTTGAGAGCGCTTTTCTAAAAAAACGCTGCTAAAAGAGGGCATATAACATTACCTTTTACTTAAAAAAAGCGCTGCCTTTACCTACAGCGACACCACTTTAGACAGCGCTGTTAAATGTCTTTTTTGGCATATTGTCTCTACTATGATTAGAGTATCATCAACATATTTCATGTGAGAGATAACTAACTTCGAACTCAAAACTTTGAAGCATGTCAGAAGATCCAACTCCACAACCATGCTAAGAAGCCTGCACAACCCTTCCACAAGTAACAAAAAGAGAAAAATGGGGCTAGCGAGTCTCATTGCTTCAAACCTCTATGATTATTAATTTCATGAGTCGAAGAACCATTAACCAGGATATCAAAGTTTCCAGCAAAAACATAAGCATATAACCAATGATCTTTCTTCGAGGCCCCTAATAAGACAAATACCAAAAAAACCTAAATCGAAGAACGAAAATTTAGTGATCTTTTTTTAAACTGCACCAAATAAAGAAAAGTCATCTACTGTTATTACCGATGACAAGAATAAATCTCCAATCACAAACTATTATTACCGATGATAAGAATAAATCTCCACTCACATAAAATTTTTTTTCCATATGAATGATACTAATAATGTAGACATCTCAGTAAGTTTAGTCTCCTGAATCACCACAATTGGAAGAAATAAACACTTTGACCTTAGAATTTTTTATCCTATTCTCAAGCCAACAAATATTAAAGGATCCAATCAACATTTAAACATGACACTTAAACGACCTCTTAAATTGTGCTGACAAACTCTCTTTTATAAACAAACTAATCTATCACCTTATTTTTCCTCACTCAGTTTAAATGAACAACCTAGTTGTCTATCTAACCTCCAAAGTTTTAAAGGTTTTTTTTTCTATTCTAAGGCATCGGCATTTGGCACTATTAGAAATCCCAAAAGAAAGCCAAATAGGATGCTTACAATGAGCAGCACATAGAAGACAACGATCACTAATAGTTACATATAAAAAAAAACTCATGTCTTTTTCCACAACTATAGTGGGAACAATTTCCTAAAATAAAAAACCAATAGAAAACAAGGCCTAGCAATACATGAAGATGATTGGTGAGTGGTGTTCTGAGAAATCAGTTGATCCGATTAACACCCATGTTTGGTGCCTGAGACAGCACTAATGGAAAAGTTGAATCTAAACCCAATCTCATCCTAGCTGTAATAATCCAATTTAATATATTTACTTATATAAAAAAGTGTCTTTTAATAAAATAAATAAATAATAATGGTAATGTTGGGTTGGATTTAGCCGTTTGTACATTTTCCCCTTTTGGTGGTTCTATTTTCTCTCTTTCTTTTTATAAATATATATTTTACCATAATAATAATAATAATAATAATAATTCTTTAAATGTCATTAATAATAATAGTATATTTTAAACCTAACCTATACATTGAATCAATGAAAGTTGAGAAAAAAGAATCAATGAAGGTTCTAAATCTTCCTTTAATGTTCGACTAGTTAAACTATAGGAATACAATGCGTTATAGTAAAGGATCATGAAACCTTAAATTCAGTTTGATCATTTGATTTATTATGCTATAATGCCATTTAATTTCGAAAATTTTTACCGCTAGATTCTCTTTTACTCCAAAACCTTAAATATTTCAATAATAAAAAACATGAAAGTAAAGATATATAAAAGCTCACACAAATTTTCTCTTTATTTCATCATAATAAATGCATGTATAATGCAACAAAACCTTATTTTGGTTTTATTGCAAGTGCATCAACTTGGTTTCACTACTCACAAAACCAAACAAAATAGTGACCAATTATTTTTAATAAAAAAACCCAAACTCAAAATTTATGAACCCCTCACCCCTCATTGTAAAATTCTTACATGAGAGAATCCAAATCCATGTTCTAAGGGTAAACATAACCGCAAGAAATATCCATTAGAAGGAGTGCATAATCAACTACATCCTCTGTAGTATCCTCCAAACCCGATGTTTCCCTCACCCTTGATACAAAAAGTTCAAGTCTCTCTTCCATTTCTTCCGATGAGCTACCACCCGTAGTTGTCGTAGTAGCAGCAGCAGAAGCAGTCTTGTTCTTCTTCTTGAATTGTGTACATTTGCTCACAAGAAGTTTCTTTTCTTTTTCTTTGTTAGTCTTTGAGGAAGTGATTCCAGCTTCTTCCTCAGCCCTTATTGCCTTCCTCTGCCTGATTCCACAAGCATTGCAAAGTGACTGCACCAACAACATATTCATGTTAATTAAGCTGGAAAATCAAATTTGATGTTTATTTTTACTAAAGACGAATATTTTTTTATCAAACGAATCGAAACGACAATGACTGAATTAATTCTACTACAATTTGATAGTAAATGAAAGTGTAGCGAATAGGGGAAAAAATTACCTTAGGACCCATAGGGCCACTCCTCCAAAGTGGGGTAGAGGTAGTTTGACACTCAGCACAAACCCTAGATGTAGGGCTTCCTTGATTGTACCTTTCATTTTGAACTCCTCTATATGGAGTTGTGGCAGCACTAGCACTTGTATTTATAATTTCTTTCTCTTCATTTCTGGCTGCAACATAACTTCTTTCTGGCATCATCAATTTTCTCATCAACCTCATCTTCGAAGACGTCCATTTCGCCAATAAGTCACCGTTTATTTGGCCGCTATCTTCCATCTCCACGGATGATGATAAATTCGTGTCGCGCGCACTGCTTTGATCAACCATAGCTGAACCACTGGATGAATTAGATGAATTATGAAGTTGTGGAGGGTTGATCGATGATGATGATGATCCACCATAATGAAGTACCAGCTTATGATCCTAAAGTAATAAAATCAAAGAGATAAAAAAAGTATAGAGAATTATGACAAAAAATAATTATAAGAAATAAATTAAAGGGATCATGTAAAATATGATCTTGCCTTAGGATCATGATTTTCCTCAAACTGTCCAAGTAAATTAAACAAGACAGGACGGTCCTGTTTGACAGGAGAAACATCGTTTTGACCTGCTGGATTTGGACTTACAGGAGTCATGGATGGTTATGAGAGAGAAACAGTGGACAGTACAACGGGATAGGGTAAGAGAGAGAGAGAGAGAGAGAAAGAAAGAGGTTAAAAAAAGGGTGGTAGGGTTCTTATATGAGAGGCTAAAACGAGAAGAGAGACATTCACGTGATTACAAAATGAAAACAAAATGAAGAAAGAGACAAGAATGTTACTACGATAATACAAACAACAATGCCCTATCTGTTGTTGTTGTTCAGTCCTTACGTTTATTTATATATACACTCATCACATGAATCTCACTCATAAATTAATATTTTATTAATTTCTTTTCCCTTTTAGCTTTCTTTTTATCATTTTTATTTCATCATTATCGTAAGTCTAGAAGCAACGTATGCGAAACGCGCTGTATTTCTTTTATTAGACAATAATTAATATTTTTTTTTTAAATGTTTAAAGATTTCAATGGAATTTTTTTCTTTTTTCTTCTTAAGATAAAAATTGTTAATTAATCCATACCTTTTGTTGAATTCTCCTATTAAATATTGGATTTTGTTTCTAATTATATTCTTTATTCCTATTTTGTTAGGTACTGGATTCTATATTAAACAATTGTATATTTACTTTGATATATATACCATATGTATAGAACACACTTTTGATATTTTAATAAAATTTGTTGAATAATAAATTTTATTGCATAATTTATAAAAAGTAAATAAATAATATTTAATGTACAAATAATATATTACCATAATTTGAAGGAAAAAAATTATAAATTAAAAGTTAAATTTCGAATTTGATATATATCTAAATAAAAATTATGAATTAATTAAAAGAAATAAAAATTGTAAAATATTGAGAATGGTTCAATGTATTTGGATATTCTGTTTTCAAAAATCTCTCGGATCTGATTTTGAATTTATTTGTATAAAATTAAATAAAATCAAGTACATATAGTTTAATATTTAGTTTTTTTGTATGATATATTTCTATTAATATATTGTTTTTGAAATTTTAATTTTTAATAATAATTGATTATTTTATTTTATTTTATATGTTATAGAGATAACCTGATCAAAGTATTTCATATTGACAATTTAAATAAATTAATAAATTGTATTATACATCAAATTTTCACTTTCTTTTTATAATATTTATAATAATATAGTTTTTTAGAATTGTAATTTGAATATAAAAAACTGATCTAAATAAAATTTCGTTTAGTTGAATCATATTAGATTATAATTTTTTTTAATTGTGTCATCCAAATTGAATCAAATTATGTGTGGTTTTATCTTCTAGTAAGAAAATTAACTTTGAAATCGATTCAAACTATCTCGAAAATGCCCTTTTTTGGCAAGGGGACAAGAAGCCCAGGAACAATATATCAATGGAAATAGATAACAATATGAGTGGACTAGAGGAAGACCTCAAAGATCAGCAGTATTTAAAAATTACAAGCTACTATTGTACGCATTACTTTCATTAGTATGAATACGATTCTACCAAGTATAATTCATAGATGTTAGGTATATAAACTAGCTAAGATATCTACATATTGATTACCCTCTTTATAAATTTGGATAGCCAAAAAAGAAATTGAGTTGATATCATGAAAATAATTGTTCCACTTATTTCTTACCTTCCAAGAAACCATAGATGGATTAGTAAAAGAGTTTATGACAAGCATAGAATTGGTTTTCAACCATAAACAAGGCAAATGTGAGGAGATAATGTGTTCCATTAATCAATAGAATTCCTACCAAAGACCATGCATCTTGTTCGAAGGGGTGTTTTGACAAATTCAAGGAAGTTTAGATGTGTTTTCTGTTTTTTATTTTAGACAAGTAGAATCTTTGAAACACCTATTTGGTGAGTGTGAGTTTACTAGGAGAATTTGGGTGAAAGTCATGGATTGGATATAAAGTGATTTAGCAATGTCTATCGAGAAGTTGTCGAGTTTTTGTTGAATGATGTCAAAATTAGGAGTGTGACTTAGTGTTTTTGTATATTGGGCGGTATCTACCAAAGTTTAGATGTGCATTGAATCATTTTAGACTAAGGATGCATACAAATGTTTTTGAAAAGCCTTAGGCATGCCACACACATCAAAAACAAAGTTTTATGTGTGAACATGGTTGCGTAGGCCGACACATACGAGTTCAGGCCGACCTGTAGAAGCTTTTGCTTCAGTATAGGTCGACACATAGTTCTTAAAGGCTGACTTTCACGCATCAATATTAAAGTCTGTGGGCTCTGTCCATAGGTCGCTTCATTCAGGTCGACCTGAATACCTTGATAAGCCAACCTATTGCTTTCATAGGTCGACCTATAGCTTTCAAAAACTTAAAATTTTGGTTTGCATCTTATTTTTCTTGCATCCTTTTTGTCTATTTTCACACACACACATATATATACTCATACATGCACCTTTTTCTAGTAAGATACTAGTGTAAAAACTAAACAAAACCATATTATAAAGTATTCCCATCATCTTCAACATTTCTTCTATGCATACACACAATCAAACTACACATAATAATTTTTTAATTGGGTGACCATCTAGATTAGGATCGATAACGTCTAATTAGGTTGGTGTAACCGATAATATTGGATTAGGATCTTTGTGTGTTCCAAATAAGAAAACCAAGGTGGGGGTTTCCTTCAAGATCACTAGGATTTAAAGGTTTTGGACAAGATCACGTCAACACGGATTCGATCGAGTGAAGGCCTTGGGAAAAGGTGGTTTCCTTGCAAGGAAGAAGCACGAGACAATGAATCGTTTTTGGGAGTCTTGGGTTCAACAAGCGTGTTCTCAGGGTATTCGGTGGATTCTAATAACATTGTTAGTGACTTGATCAAGCTTTGATCAAGAGTTTGGAGGTGGTTGAATCAACAAAAAACCATAGGGTTTTTGGGGTTAAAGTTTTTCCCCTATTGTATAAATATTTTTGCAAAGATAAGGTTAATTGCAAATATCTAAATTCAATTACGGATTGAGGGCAGTCGTACCCATAGTGAGACCGATTGGAGAACTTCCTAAACAAATCTTTGTGTCTCTTTATCTCTTTATTGCTTTATCTCTTTAATTGTTGTTCTTACAAATTATCGATTTTATTGTTGTTTTGATTAATTGGATTGAAAATTGCTTCTAGTATTTGGTGTGATATTTTCACAGCCAGATATGACGCAACCTCTATGGCTTTTATCCTGGGTGGGAGATCTGGTTGCCTCCAATCCGCTTTGCCTTGGCGAAGATGTGTTTCCTTTCTGGGTGCTAAAGCTCATGACATTTCTAACATGTTCATGGATGTCCTCTCCTTGAAAGTTGGTTATGGTCTCCTTACCTCCTTCTAGGAGGATCTTTGGGTTAGGAATACTCCCCTTCGTCTTAGATTCTCTAGACTTTCTTTTTATTTTCAACCAGACCACAAAAATCCATAGAAGAGGCTGGTAGATGGGAGGGGGGAGGTGGATATGCGACCTTAAGTGGAGGAGATCTTTTCTCTTTGACTATGAGTTAGCTCTTTTTAGTGATCTGCAGTCTGTGATTAGAGACATTACCCCTTCTTTTGAGAGTGACGTGTCTAGGTGGCATGAGTCGAGTGATGGCGCTTATTCTGCGTCTTCTTCCTACTCATTTCTTTTGGCCGGAGATTTCCCCCAGGTCGTTAGGTTTCTCCCTGTAAAGCTAGCTCTTTCGTCTATTTGGTGTTGTGCCTCTAAAGTTATAGTTTTCTTTTGGTAGCTTCTTCAGGATTGTATCCTAACCAGAGATAACTTACTTAAGATGGAAGTTCATTGGTCCTCTAGGAATATTTCCTGTCTCATCTGTTCGGTGCTCATTGAGTTGTCATCTCATCTCTTTGTGACTTGTGAGGTTGCATCATCTATTTGGTATATGATTTTTAGGTAGATAGGTGGTGTTCTGTTTTGCCTAAAGATATCTTGAGTCTTTTCCAGATGTTTGTTCCTCTGAGTGGAAGTTCTATCTCTAGAGGAGGTTGAGGATGATTTGGCATGACGTGGTTTGGTCGATTTGAAAAACTTGGAAGAATATAATTTTTTCGGATTCTTCGGTGGCACCTAAAGAAGTGGAAGACATGAGCATCATTTTGCCTTGGAGATGGTGTGTTGGTAGGTCCATGGAAAACTCGTGTTCCTTTTCGATCTCCCTTGAGAATCCTATCTCGTTTCTGAGCTAATAACGGTATGAGTGGCTTTGATCTCCCTTGAATGTGTTCTTATTGTGGTTTTTTATGGCTTCACTGCTATTTCAGATATCTTTGTATGGAGAGATTTAGCTTTGTGTGAATTTAGATTCATGTGTCTTTTCTTTTTTATTTCTTGTGGTTTATGATCCCCTTATTTCTTGTAGTTTATAGTATTTACTTATACTTTCCTGTTAGTTTTGATTTCAAAATTGATATTGCTCTCTTTTTTTGTTTTGTTTACTTTGTACTTGGGTTGGTAGCGCATTAATTATATATATATATATATATATATATATATATATATATATATATATATATATATATATATATATATATATATATATATATATATATATATATATATATATCCTATTTACCGTTAAAAAGAAATAACATTTAAATTTTAAATTTTATGTATTTGCATTACATACTATATTATGAGTAATAAATTAAAAAACTAGATATAAAATATAGAATGGGAGTTCTTTATATATATATATATATATATATATATATATATATATATATATATATATATATATATATATATATATATATATATATCCTATTTACCGTTTAAAAAAAATAACATTTAAATTTTAAATTTTATGTATTTGCATTACATACTATATTATGAGTAATAAATTAAAAAACTAGATATAAAATATAGAATGGGAGTTCTTTATTTTTTATTACTAACTTTATATGATTACTAATTATATATGATTACACTTGAAGTATGTTATATGTAATTATATATATATATATATATATATATATATATATATATATATATATATATATATATATATA